TCTTATGAATATATGGTTAGAAAAATCCAAAAATTAATATTAATTTTAATATTAGTGTCAAATTAATAAATTTAATTAAATAATTAATAAATTAAAATTAACTTTTACTTTTCAATACAATTTTATATATAATAATAAAATACATTTATTATACCACATTAATTTATACTCTTATGAATATATGGTTAGAAAAATCCAAAAATATGTATTTATATGGTCATTAAGCCGTAATAAATATTGATAGAAAGAGGGACAAAACCCGGCCCGTAGATTAATTGCAGTTGCAGAATCCGGTGAGGAAAACCTGTTTTCCTTGCTCGAAATCGGAAACTGTCTTTAAAGCTCACACTTTTCACACCTCAGTCCCCATTCCATCTTCAATCTTTCCGTCTTTCCGTCTATTTTTTTCTTCCACCCAATTAGCATAACGATTACCCTTTAAATCAACTCTAAAAATCCCAGTATTCTGATTTCCAACTGCTTCAGAAGGTGGCCATGGCCATTGCAGCGGCAGCTGTTATCGTGCCGTTAGGCATTCTCTTTTTCATCTCCGGCCTCGTCGTCAATCTCATTCAGGTACTTCTGGGATTCCGTTTCAGTGTTCTATTGTTTTTGTTTCTATGGTTTAATTGCGTTGCTTAGATTTGGATTTTTCAAGCTTCCTCTTGTACCCTTTTAGGGGTTTGCTTCATTTTAGCTCTGCTTCTGGCAAAACACAAGAAGGGTTTTTTCCTATTTCTTCTTGTTTTCATTTTGGATAATTTTTAGTGGGTTGCTCTTTCTTTGCCCAAATTTCTTCAGGAGAGTTCATCAGTGTACTTCCATGCACACCTGTGTTTTGAATTGATCTCTCTTAGCAGATGTATTGGATTGGTTTCACTGGATTTTTGTCCTGTACTGTGTTTCTTTGCTGATAAAATATGGGTGGATGAAATCTTTGCTGGTATCTTTGAAGCATATATGTGCCACTAGGCAATTGAGATTTTTAGTATCATTATTATTGGTTCTGCTGCAAGTAGATTTTAATCATAGTACGATACTTCAAAGTATGTTTCATCTCAGCTTTTCTTTTTGGTGTATATTTGGGAACCCTTTACATGGATTAACTTGGAGTGGCCATAATGAACATAACCTCTGTGATTCAATCTCCAGGCAGTTTGTTTCATCCTCATTCGTCCAGTTTCGAAGAACACCTACAGAAGGATCAATAGAATGGTCGTAGAGTTGTTGTGGCTGGAACTCATATGGCTCTTTGATTGGTGGGCGGGAGTTAAGGTGTCAACAAATCCCCAATTTCACTGTTTTAAATCTTACCTTTCCTATTAATGTTTGGGACTACTTTCCAATATTACAATGATGTTCACTTATTGAAATTATTTAGTTGGAAATTTGAAGGGAATACTTGCTTGAATACCTAAAAGCTTGTGATCTTTTAAGGGCATCTACTTGTTATGATAATGAGAGTATAAATTGTTATGCATTTGGAACTGAAAGTATTATGAAACAAACTGAATTGGGATTTGGGAAGAACCATTTATGCTCCATATATCAATGAATGAGAAAATTACTCAAAATGTTAGAAGTTCCTTTCATCCTTGTATCTGCAATTAGATATGGCAGAACTGCTAGTTCTTATTCACGGATGGCAGTAAACTATCAGCTGACCTGGGAAAGAATATGGATTGAGGTGTAGGATTTCTGATGATAATCATAGTAAGGATGCACTGATATTCTACCAGAAACTAATTCTCAAATGACTGCAAGGCATATGCATTTCCACCTGTAGTTCGTTTCCCTCCAGTATAAATAGTTTTGTTATGATTCTTTTATCACTTGTCTTTTTTGAATGACTGACTTCTAACTAGTTTTTGATAATTAATTTTAAAAGCTATAACTTTTGTTTTAATGTATCCATTTTATGGTAAAATAGTAAAATGTTATTATGCATCAGTCTTGATCGCTTATCTTTCAAATTCTTTCAATTGTAGAAAAAATGAGATCTTAATGTTTTTTATAGCTGATATTTTTGCTTGATGGCCATATAGAGGCAAACTGGAATCATAAACAAGATCAACCCACAAGTGATGCTACATGCAATTGCATTTGCAACAAACAATTCTTAATTGAATCTTTAGTGGTTCCAAGGCCTGATAGATAACTTATTATGAAGTTTTCAGATTCATCTTATAAGATTCTAAAATTTTCAAAAGGGACATGATAGGTTTGATCAGGGATATAGATTGAGAATTTCAGAATAGAGACTGTAAGGCATCAAGGGTATTAGAAGGTTAGATCATTGTAGGTTATTAAATCATTGCCGGAAAGTCATTGAGACATGACAGGTTTCTGTCTAGTTAGCATTTTCACTGTTAATGGACTGGAGGTTGCACTTGTAGGATTGGAGCCTCAAAATTTTTAGATCAACGTGGAGAGAGTAGGATTTTTCTCATCCAGTTCTTTTCCATCCCATCTTTTCTGGCAGATTTGATGTTCCCACAAATTGTTAAGGACCTTTTATCCATGAAAAATATGGTAGATAATTTTATTTTGATCCTTTTTAGTGGACAATACTTACCTTTACATCCAGTTTTACAGTTGCATGGTATCATTAGAACTAACCTCTAAGCACATAGACTGATTTTTGTTTTTGAGGATACTGGAATGATTCATCTTTATCTGTTTTAAAGGATTGATTGTATATTTTATCCTCCAGCCCTGTCCCTTTTCTTCCATTACTTCTAAGATGCTCTTGAACTGACATCTGTTAATATTTCAAAAGGATTAGTACCATAAAAGCCTTAACATATATCTATCATCTGAAAATTGAAATTTTGATCATATGAGATGTTCTTCCTGCAGATTCAATTATTTACTGATCGTGAGACCTTAAAGTTAATGGGTAAGGTTAAACTCTTCATTATGGGGGAACTTTGTGGTTGGTCTCTAATTGAGTTAGATATAGATATTGTTCTATGCTAAATTTTTAAAAAGCTCCTTTACTATCTTAAAATGTGTTTTAGGCAAGGAGCATGCGCTTGTCGTATCTAATCACAGAAGTGACATTGATTGGCTTGTTGGATGGGTTCTGGCACAGGTGTGTGATTAATTGATTGCAAGTTTAAAAACTATTTTTTTGGTACTGCAATATGAATGTTATAATCATTCTGATATAATATTGTTGAGTTTTCTTGTTACAGCGGTCAGGTTGCCTAGGCAGTACATTAGCTGTAATGAAAAAATCATCAAAATTACTTCCTGTAAGTGTTTTCGATAGTTCAATTGTGTTCACTACTTCATTATTGATTTATTAGTTTCAATTTTGTCTCAGAAAGTAGAGGCATTCTTAACATCATCATGAACTTAAATGGCCACAAGGATGGAAAAGGATGTTTCATTTGAAAGTAGAAATTTTTTTACTTTAATCATAATTTTGAATTCTGATGAATTCATTTCTTCTATTTACTAGTGCTTCCTAATATCTTTTTAAGTTACATATCCTATTGAGAACCGATTATTATTTTGCACCTGATATTGGTTTGGCATGTCTTAGCAACAATAAGCACAATGGTCTTCATCATTTCTTGTGAAATGATTTAATGATTTTAATTACGTAATTTGCCTCATCTAGCATCTCATTTGTCACTCTTTTTTCTTTTTACTGTTTCAATGTGATGAAAACTGTCAGTATTCACCTTTCTTTTGTTGATGGGGCATTCCACTTCCATACTTGCAAAGGGTAAAAATTCCATGTCTGATACTGCAGGTAATAGGTTGGTCAATGTGGTTTTCTGAATATCTCTTTTTGGAAAGGAGCTGGGCCAAGGATGAAAGCACATTAAAGGTATGCGTAAAAGTTTGTTAAGAAATTCTATTAGCGTTTTTTTCTGTAGATATGGATATTGTTTTGTGCAGTAGATAAATATATTACTTGTTTGTGGGTGCACATGTGCATGTATTTCTCCAGTTTGATTAGCCTTACTGATATCATCTGGGTCTTTTGGGGTTGTATCTGCAGTCAGGTCTTCAGCGTTTGAAGGACTTCCCGCTGCCCTTTTGGGTGGCACTTTTTGTAGAAGGAACTCGATTCACACAGGCAAAGCTTCTAGCAGCTCAAGAATATGCAGCCTCAACTGGATTGCCTGTACCTAGAAATGTTCTAATTCCTCGTACTAAGGTCTGATTCTTGCTGCCCCTTCCTAGACATAAATTTATTGTATCATGTTCCAATTCTTTATCTAGCTACTTTAAAGATCAATATCAACCAGATTTTATCTGCTACACAAATTGGAAGCATCTTTTTGGCGCAAGGTTGAATAGCCTAACATCTCATCTTTACCTTTGATTTTATTCTAAGACAATTTAAAAACACTAAAAGGACTCCCATCATCTTGTCACACCCTTCTGCCTGAAACTTATTTCCTTAAAGTGCAAATGTCTTCACAATGTGGCCCAGTTATTTAATTTTAATGCTAGCTAGCCAGTACTAATTATTATTCGGCCAAAAAAAAAAAAAAAGGCCACTACTAATTATTAATGTAAGATAACAACTGGGCCTAAAACACAACATGAGCTTCCAACCTAATTGGCAATAGTTGAGTAACCCATTTTATAATTAAGCACACATGTTTCTTCTTAAACTTTTAATGTGGGATTTTCCCGCAATTAAGTTGGAATTAGCCTCTCAATCATTATATTGTAGCTTCTTATCAAATTATTTTTTGTTGCTTTCAGGGCTTTGTCTCAGCAGTTAGTCATATGCGCTCCTTTGTCCCAGCCATTTATGATGTGACAGTGGCTATACCAAAAACCTCACCTCAACCTACAATGATCCGACTCTTCAAAGGGCAACCTTCTGTGGTAAGTAACTGTATTTGAGTTATCAAGCTGTGTGAGGCAGCTAATGTCTTCTTGTAATTACATTGGGATTGGAACGTTGAAGTTACTTTTTCATTGTCTGTATCAATTTGTCTAGGAAACTTTTCTGCATATCTTCTGGGGAATTCTGTTTTAGGCTTGTTGGCTATTTTTGGTTCTTCTACCTTCTAAAAACTGCCCTTCCATCTCATTCTTGATGATCATTTAGAGATACCTGTCGTATTTCCCCAATAATGTAAGATTCATTCCTCATGTTGATGAGGTTATGTCAATGGAATCAGGCATGGTGGTACTAGTCAAACATTGTATATCTATGGGAACAGGAAATGCAGGGATTCATAATTGGCCTAATATGTTCTGCATATTTTGTTTGATCTTTTGATGATCTGTGGAGTATTATCAGTTATTTCAGTTAATGAGCATGTAGGTTATGAACACATCTGGAGTTTTTTAATACCTATTTTTGATAATCATATCACAACTTAATACTTGTTAAAAAGCTGCTTGGAAGCTGAGAGGCAAGAAGTCATGATATAGTTCAAATCTGGTTATTGCTGACAAGATTTCCTTCCATTCATCTTCATTTTCTTGGGGAGCTCCATGCACCAAATCATCCCTTGTCATTTTGAATTTTCCATGAAGAAAGAATTCCTGGTCTTTGCTGATAATTAAATCATTTCATCTGCCTTTTATACATTTGAAGAAGAACTGCCTTTCTTTCTTTCTTTCAGGTGCATATCCACCTGAAGCGGCATTCAATGAATGAATTGCCTGAAACAGATGATGCTGTTGCACAGTGGTGTAGGGATGTATTTGTTGCTAAGGTGAGTACTGTTGATCTAGTATCAAAGCAGGTTACTATCCATGTGGTATTGAACGTATGCCTGAAAAATTGTTCTCAGAGGTGAAATGTAAAATTACTATAATTTCTAAAAAGCTATATTCCTCAATCCTCAATGTGTAGGTGCTCAAAGACAGCCTCATTATGTGTACCTAAGTTTCCCACTTAACGCTTTTTGTTTGATTTGGCATGCTAGGATGCACTGTTGGATAAACATGTAGCTGAGGACACTTTCAGTGGCCAAGAATTACAGCACATTGGTCGGCCATTGAAGCCTCTCTTGGTGAGATACTTGTGCTATCCTACATATTCATTTAGCCAATGTGGTTTTCTTGTGCTCTTATTGAGTTACCTAATGTTTGGAGCAGGTTGTTACCTCTTGGGCATGTATGTTGGTTTTTGGTGCTCTAAAATTTCTCCAGTGGTCTTCACTATTATCATCATGGAAGGGCATTGCAGCGTCAGCGTTTTGTTTGGCACTTATAACAGTTCTCATGCAGATCCTGATTCAATTCTCTCAGTCAGAGCGGTCAACCACTGCCAGGGTTGCGCCCAAAAAGAGCAGTAGATCTTGTTAGCTTGATCCCGAGACAATAGTACCATTGGAACCTCCCCTACACTTGTTTTTCAACCTAAAAGACATGCTGTTGTCTATCAATGCCTATAAACCTTAATCGTTTTGTTCATTTTTTTTTTTTAAACTCTTATAGAATTATGTCTTTGATTTTGATGTCAAAATCATTGTTTGCTGGTTGAGTAGAGTAGGATACATTTGTATAAACCATGTATGACCATCCAGCACATGCTTTTGTTTTTTGATATTTCGAAAGATTAACTATTTGATAACATAGAGATTTGAACTTTTTATCTTAACTTCAAATTAAGATTTTTAAGTTAATGAGTATTGACCAATCAGATTCTTATTAGTCCAGTAAATGTTAAGTATCAGGCAAGTCTTCCATTTCAAAATTTTCCTGTTCTTTTTCTTTTTCTGTTGTACAATCTTATAAATTCCAGGTTGTCTCCAGGCCTGAAACTTCAATTACCTACTTTCCTAGAGTGTTTGCTTTTCGATGAAAGCTATTGGCATAAAGGAGATGAACCCCTTCTCCAAATGGTAAACATTGGGGAAGATAACCATATCCAAGAATCTGTCTAGGGCTATCGACTAAGATAGGCACAGGATCCTTCGATCTGAGGTAGAGTGGAGATTTGATGCATGGTTAAAACAAACTAATTGAGAAATTCCAAAAAAAACCAGCAATGTAGCAAGACCAGGTCATTGTTGGGGTCACAATATTGAATAGGAGTGTGACAACGAACAAGAAGTAACTGTACAATTTATACAAGCATAAAATGCAAATCCGCTGATACAATTGATCTAAGAAACTCAATTCTTGGGTTCAGGATGGGGAAGCCTCAGCTCCATCATGCAAGGCACAGCAAACAGTTGCTTTGTGGTGTCCTTGATACACCTTTATATCTGCACCTTCTGACATAGACCAGAGTCTGGCGGTTGTATCAGAAGAAGCTGCATGCAACGGTAAACATGATAATCCATGTGAGAAAAATTAGTAGGCTCCATAAAACCTTAGTTATTGAAATATAGGGAAAACAGACGGCAACAAGATCCTCAAGCAAATGGGCACTTGCAAGCATCCTTTTGTACATCTCAAACGTGCTACATGGGGCTTAGAGTGTGTGGATTCGTATTTAAATTTTCCAGATCACTCAATAATGATTAGTAGTGTCAATAAAATGGAAAAATCAAAGCCACCAGTAATGGCTGGCCCAAAAAATAAAACTACCTGTAATGAGATAGGCACCATCCACAGAGAAAACACAGTCCCATACCCAACGATGATGTCCTGATAGCAATGAGTTAAATCAATTTTATTATGGGCTTAATAGATTTTCAAGTAATGCAAGTCAGCATGAAAGGATTTCTGACTTTGATCAATACCTATTAAAGTTTTCTCCAATGTGAATCCATCAACATTCCATATCTTGACTGTGGAGTCAGCAGATGCAGTAGCCAGATATCTGGAAGACATGTCAACTATATTACACTAGCATCTCATTGCAGATGCAATGCATTCACACACATATGAGCATTTTATGACAGAAAAATAAAAAGGAATAAAAGACAACAACAGATTGTCTCAGGTAAATATAACCTGTGGGGTTCACAAAACTCAGGTGAAAGTAGACATTTGAGGATGTATGTGTTATGTGCTTGTAGCTTGTGAAGTGGCTCGAAGTTGGTCATAGTCTGCAAGAAAAATTAAGGAGAGTAACAAGATGATAAGTAAAATTTGATACAATGGTAACATAAGAGGCAATATTGTTACCTGGTTCCCTCTCAACAAGCGCCAAACGTAACATGTCCCATGATTATTTGCAGCAACTACCAAGCTCCCATCCCACATGACTGTCAGAGACCTCACTGCTGTGTCTACCTCGGGCACCTAGTTTTGAGAAAACAGAACACAATTTATATACATTCAGATGCATTTCTGAGAGTGCATGAATGATTAATATAATAAGATACATGAGAAACAAAAACCCATGCAAATATTCTTAAATTTGCAAAGGAAATGTCAGGAAAAAGAGAAATGTAGTAAAGATAATAGTATTGAATAAGGAATACCAATTCACAGCTGCAAGAATTTGCTGTCAAATCCCAAACACGGATGTTTCCATTTTGGTCTCCAGATATCAGTTCAGTCTGCAAAATGATATACATAAAGTAATGACAACAGATCAACAGTTACAATGCTGGTAAGAAAAAATGACACTGATTGTAATGGTGAACCTCCTGTTACCCAAACCTCAGTCTGCAAGTAATTGGTATCAAGTACCAACAGATTCTAATTTTTGTCAGATCAATTTCTGATATTTTAACAAATATTTTTTTTCCTTCCCATCCCCTCTTATTTATTGACTTTGTATAATAAAATAGCTAAGCAGATTGTTAGAAGAAGTTGAAATTTCCAACTTCCACAAAAGCACAAAGATTGTAAGCAGCTAGACATGGTACCATCTCAAGGTGAATTAATGAATCCAGAGACAAAATCATACTTAATAACACCCCAACTGCCCCTAGTTATGAAGATAATTGAAGTTCCCATGAACCACAATTATGTGGAACATGCTCAACTACTGAAGTATTTTGGTAACAGCTGACCTGATTTGGGTGCAAGACAACAGTGTTAACAGCACCTCGACTTTCATATTCCCTTTGACAACCTGGAGCCCTGCAGTGGAGTTAAATATCAGAAGTCTAAACATCAGAAATAAAGGCATAGCAGTTAAAACATTTACCTCAAATCCCAAATCTTTACAGTGCCATCCTCAGAACCAGAATACATCCAGTTTCCGTCACATTGAAATCCCACGGCCATAACATTATTAGTGTGTGAATCATAACTCATTACCTAGGATGTAATAAATGAAGATAAATAGGTAGTTAAGTACATGACTATGACCATCAAAAACAAAATATCAGAAGAATAAATGTGTAAAAGAAAAAAAAAAGAAAAAAAAAAGGGTGAACAAAGCAAAAATAATAAGGAGGACATACAGGTTGAGGGTTGTTGGAGTTAACATCAAACAAACGAATCTGAGGATTACCCGCTGCAGCCAGGTACCGTTTATCTGGGGTTATCTCAAGCCTATTAACTTGCTGCAAATACCAGATATGAGACTTTAATCTGTTAGAAAATTTCACAGTTTGGAAAGCTTAGTTCTTAAATCTTAAGCTACTAGATAATTTCGAGCCTACAAAAGCTCAGTTGGATTGGATGGATGAAAACTCCCACCATTAAAATCCATAACACCAGGCAAATAATTTAAATTAACCTTGACGGGAGTTGGATTTAGTAAGCTTGTCACACTCCAACAAGTTTACACATTTTTACTATGATTTTAATTGACCAATGATAGTACCATCTTCAAATGTCATGTCTTAAAACATCCAAACATATACAAATTCGTCAATTCAAACAAACAATGATTCACAATAAATCTAAAACATTAAAAATAAACTGGGATAGAAAAGAAAAACTAACCGAATCAGGGTATTGGATGGTGCGGTGGCAACGGCCACTTTTCGCCTCCCAAAACCGAATAGTGTGATCATAGCTAGCCGTAGCTAGTATCACCGATGGTTGGGTCATCTTAATCACCTTCTAATCAACATTAAGCATTAGACTAAACAAAAATTTGCACAAAGAGTCAAAATCCCAAAAACCCAGAAAGGAAAAAGACATCTAAATGACTTAATCATGATAATGTTGAGAAAGATGCAAACTTGAACAAAGTTTTTAGCTTGTGAACTGAAGCGAAGATGAGCACAACAAATTTTCACAGAACTACATAAATACTAAAATCGGATGCCTTGTGAAGTTGAACTGAAAATGGAAAAGTTAGAAACGAGTATTAGAAGCTTAATTACCTGTAGATCATGTGAAAATCATAATTCCAGAGGAAGTAGAATTAGGTACTGAGAAAAGGGTTTTTCTGAGAGATAGAAAG